ACTCTGAGTCTCCCCGTGTCTCCCCGTGTCTCCCCGAGTGAGTCTCCCCGAGTGAGTCTCCCCGTGTCTCCCCGTGTCTCCCCGTGTCTCCCCGAGTGAGTCTCCCCGAGTGAGTCTCCCCGTGTCTCCCCGTGTCTCCCCGTGTCTCCCCGAGGTCTCCCCCTCTGAGTCTCCCTGCGTCTCCCCGAGTGTCTCCCCGAGTGTCTCCCCGTATCTCCCCGTGTCTCCCCGCGTCTCCCCGCGTCTCCCCGCGTCTCCCCGCGTCTCCCCGAGTGTCTCCCCGTGTCTCCCCGAGTGACTCCCCGTGTCTCCCCGTGTCTCCCCGAGTGTCTCCCCCTCTGAGTCTCACTCTGAGTCTCCCAGAGTGTCTCCCCGTGTCTCCCCGAGTGACTCCCCGTGTCTCCCCGTGTCTCCCCGAGTGTCTCCCCCTCTGAGTCTCACTCTGAGTCTCCCAGAGTGTCTCCCCGAGTGTCTCCCCCTCTGAGTCTCCCCGTGTCTCCCCGTGTCTCCCCGTGTCTCCCCGTGTCTCCCCCTCTGAGTCTCCCCGTGTCTCCCCGTGTCTCCCCCTCTGAGTCTCACTCTGAGTCTCCCCGTGTCTCCCCGAGTCTCTCCCCGTGTCTCCCCGTGTCTCCCCAAGTGTCTCCCCCTGTGAGTCTCACTCTGAGTCTCCCCGTGTCTCCCCGTGTCTCCCCGAGTGTCTCCCCGTGTCTCCCCAAGTGTCTCCCCCTGTGAGTCTCACTCTGAGTCTCCCCGTGTCTCCCCGAGTGTCTCCCCCTCTGAGTCTCACTCTGAGTCTCCCCGTGTCTCCCCGAGTGTCTCCCCCTCTGAGTCTCACTCTGAGTCTCCCCGTGTCTCCCCGTGTCTCCCCGAATCTCTCCCCGTGTCTCCCCGTGTCTCCCCGTGTCTCCCCAAGTGTCTCCCCCTGTGAGTCTCACTCTGAGTCTCCCCGAGTGTCTCCCCGAGTGTCTCCCCCTCTGAGTCTCACTCTGAGTCTCCCCGAGTGTCTCCCCGTGTCTCTCCGTGTCTCCCCCTCTGAGTCTCCCCGTGTCTCCCCGTGTCTCCCCCTCTGAGTCTCACTCTGAGTCTCCCCGTGTCTCCCCGTGTCTCCCCGTGTCTCCCCCTCTGAGTCTCCCCGTGTCTCCCCGAGTGTCTCCCCCTCTGAGTCTCACTCTGAGTCTCCCCGTGTCTCCCCGTGTCTCCCCGAGTGTCTCCCCCTCTGAGTCTCACTCTGAGTCTCCCCGTGTCTCCACGTGTCTCCCCGAGAGTCTCCCCGTGTCTCCCCGAGTGTCTCCCCGAGTGTCTCCCCCTCTGAGTCTCACTCTGAGTCTCCCCGTGTCTCCCCGTGTCTCCCCGAGTGTCTCCCCGTGTCTCCCCGAGTGTCTTCCCGAGTGTCTCCCCCTCTGAGTCTCACTCTGAGTCTCCCCGTGTCTCCCCGTGTCTCCCCCTCTGAGTCTCCCCGTGTCTCCCCCTCTGAGTCTTACTCTGAGTCTCCCCGTGTCTCCACGTGTCTCCCCGAGAGTCTCCCCGTGTCTCCCCGAGTGTCTCCCCGAGTGTCTCCCCCTCTGAGTCTCACTCTGAGTCTCCCCGTGTCTCCCCGTGTCTCCCCGAGTGTCTCCCCGTGTCTCCCCGAGTGTCTTCCCGAGTGTCTCCCCCTCTGAGTCTCACTCTGAGTCTCCCCGTGTCTCCCCGTGTCTCCCCGAGTGTCTCCCCGTGTCTCCCCGAGTGTCTCCCCGAGTGTCTCCCCCTCTGAGTCTCACTCTGAGTCTCCCCGTGTCTCCCCGAGTGTCTCCCCGAGTGTCTCCCCCTCTGAGTCTCACTCTGAGTCTCCCCGTGTCTCCCCGTGTCTCCCCGTGTCTCCCCGTGTCTCCCCGAGTGTCTCCCCCTGTGAGTCTCACTCTGAGTCTCCCCGTGTCTCCCCGAGTGTCTCCCCGTGTCTCCCCGTGTCTCCCCCTCTGAGTCTCCCCGTGTCTCCCCGTGTCTCCCCCTCTGAGTCTCACTCTGAGTCTCCCCGTGTCTCCCCGAGTGAGTCTCCCCGAGTGAGTCTCCCCGTGTCTCCCCGTGTCTCCCCGAGGTCTCCCCCTCTGAGTCTCCCTGCGTCTCCCCGAGTGTCTCCCCGAGTGTCTCCCCGTATCTCCCCGTGTCTCCCCGCGTCTCCCCGCGTCTCCCCGCGTCTCCCCGAGTGTCTCCCCGTGTCTCCCCGAGTGACTCCCCGTGTCTCCCCGTGTCTCCCCCTCTGAGTCTCCCCGTGTCTCCCCGTGTCTCCCCGTGTCTCCCCCTCTGAGTCTCACTCTGAGTCTCCCCGTGTCTCCCCGTGTCTCCCCGAGTGAGTCTCCCCGAGTGAGTCTCCCCGTGTCTCCCCGTGTCTCCCCGAGTGTCTCCCCCTCTGAGTCTCCCCGTGTCTCCCCGAGTGTCTCCCCGTGTCTCCCCCTCTGAGTCTCACTCTGAGTCTCCCCGTGTCTCCCCGTGTCTCCCCGAGTGAGTCTCCCCGAGTGAGTCTCCCCGTGTCTCCCCGAGTGTCTCCCCCTCTGAGTCTCCCCGTGTCTCCCCGAGTGTCTCCCCGTGTCTCCCCGTGTCTCCCCCTCTGAGTCTCACTCTGAGTCTCCCCGTGTCTCCCCGTGTCTCCCCGAGTGTCTCCCCGTGTCTCCCCGAGTGTCTTCCCGAGTGTCTCCCCCTCTGAGTCTCACTCTGAGTCTCCCCGTGTCTCCCCGTGTCTCCCCGAGTGTCTCCCCGTGTCTCCCCGAGTGTCTCCCCGAGTGTCTCCCCCTCTGAGTCTCACTCTGAGTCTCCCCGTGTCTCCCCGAGTGTCTCCCCGAGTGTCTCCCCCTGTGAGTCTCACTCTGAGTCTCCCCGTGTCTCCCCGTGTCTCCCCGTGTCTCCCCGTGTCTCCCCGAGTGTCTCCCCCTGTGAGTCTCACTCTGAGTCTCCCCGTGTCTCCCCGAGTGTCTCCCCGTGTCTCCCCGTGTCTCCCCCTCTGAGTCTCCCCGTGTCTCCCCGTGTCTCCCCCTCTGAGTCTCACTCTGAGTCTCCCCGTGTCTCCCCGAGTGAGTCTCCCCGAGTGAGTCTCCCCGTGTCTCCCCGTGTCTCCCCGAGTGTCTCCCCCTCTGAGTCTCCCTGCGTCTCCCCGAGTGTCTCCCCGAGTGTCTCCCCGTATCTCCCCGTGTCTCCCCGCGTCTCCCCGCGTCTCCCCGCGTCTCCCCGAGTGTCTCCCCGTGTCTCCCCGAGTGACTCCCCGTGTCTCCCCGTGTCTCCCCCTCTGAGTCTCCCCGTGTCTCCCCGTGTCTCCCCGTGTCTCCCCCTCTGAGTCTCACTCTGAGTCTCCCCGTGTCTCCCCGTGTCTCCCCGAGTGAGTCTCCCCGAGTTAGTCTCCCCGTGTCTCCCCGTGTCTCCCCGAGTGTCTCCCCCTCTGAGTCTCCCCGTGTCTCCCCGAGTGTCTCCCCGTGTCTCCCCGTGTCTCCCCCTCTGAGTCTCACTCTGAGTCTCCCCGTGTCTCCCCGTGTCTCCCCGAGTGAGTCTCCCCGTGTCTCCCCGAGTGAGTCTCCCCGAGTGAGTCTCCCCGTGTCTCCCCGTGTCTCCCCGAGTGTCTCCCCCTCTGAGTCTCCCCGTGTCTCCCCGAGTGTCTCCCCGTGTCTCCCCGTGTCTCCCCCTCTGAGTCTCACTCTGAGTCTCCCCCGTGTCTCCCCGTGTCTCCCCGAGTGAGTCTCCCCGAGTGAGTCTCCCCGTGTCTCCCCGTGTCTCCCCGAGTGTCTCCCCCTCTGAGTCTCCCCGTGTCTCCCCGAGTGTCTCCCCGTGTCTCCCCGTGTCTCCCCCTCTGAGTCTCACTCTGAGTCTCCCCGTGTCTCCCCGTGTCCTCCCCGAGTGAGTCTCCCCGAGTGAGTCTCCCCGTGTCTCCCCGTGTCTCCCCGAGTGTCTCCCCCTCTGAGTCTCCCCGTGTCTCCCCGAGTGTCTCCCCGTGTCTCCCCCTCTGAGTCTCACTCTGAGTCTCCCCGTGTCTCCCCGTGTCTCCCCGAGTGAGTCTCCCCGAGTGAGTCTCCCCGTGTCTCCCCGTGTCTCCCCGAGTGTCTCCCCCTCTGAGTCTCCCCGTGTCTCCCCGAGTGTCTCCCCGTGTCTCCCCGTGTCTCCCCCTCTGAGTCTCACTCTGAGTCTCCCCGTGTCTCCCCGTGTCTCCCCGAGTGAGTCTCCCCGAGTGAGTCTCCCCGTGTCTCCCCGTGTCTCCCCGAGTGTCTCCCCCTCTGAGTCTCCCCGTGTCTCCCCGAGTGTCTCCCCGTGTCTCCCCGTGTCTCCCCCTCTGAGTCTCACTCTGAGTCTCCCCGTGTCTCCCCGTGTCTCCCCGAGTGAGTCTCCCCGAGTGAGTCTCCCCGTGTCTCCCCGTGTCTCCCCGAGTGTCTCCCCCTCTGAGTCTCCCCGTGTCTCCCCGAGTGTCTCCCCGTGTCTCCCCGTGTCTCCCCCTCTGAGTCTCACTCTGAGTCTCCCCGTGTCTCCCCGTGTCTCCCCGAGTGAGTCTCCCCGAGTGAGTCTCCCCGTGTCTCCCCGTGTCTCCCCGAGTGTCTCCCCCTCTGAGTCTCCCCGTGTCTCCCCGAGTGTCTCCCCGTGTCTCCCCGTGTCTCCCCCTCTGAGTCTCACTCTGAGTCTCCCCGTGTCTCCCCGTGTCTCCCCGAGTGAGTCTCCCCGTGTCTCCCCGCGTCTCCCCGTGTCTCCCCGCGTCTCCCCGTGTCTCCCCGCGTCTCCCCGTGTCTCCCCGCGTCTCCCCGCGTCTCCCCGTGTCTCCCCGAGTGTCTCCCCGTGTCTCCCCGTGTCTCCCCGTGTCTCCCCGTGTCTCCCCCTGTGATTCTCCCCGTGTCTCCCCGTGTCTCCCCGTGCCTCCCCGTGTCTCCCCGTGTGAGTGTCTCACCGGAAGATGACGTGCAGGTTCGTTCCGTATGCGAGGTGCTCCTCCTGGTTGCAGTCGGCAGGACCCGGGTTCTGGCTGCGGTCCCACTTGGTGATGAAGCTCTGCCCATCGCCAACATCAACAACATCATCAACAACATCAACATCATCATCAACATCATCAACATCAACATCACCAACAACATCAACAACATCACCAACATCAACATCATCACCAACATCACCAACAACATCAACATCAACATCACCAACATCAACATCATCAACAACATCAACATCAACATCAACATCACCAACAACATCAACAACATCAACATCAACATCACCAACAACATCAACAACATCACCAACATCAACATCATCACCAACATCACCAACAACATCAACATCAACATCATCAACATCATCATCAACATCAACATCACCAACAACATCAACAACATCAACAACATCATCAACATCAACATCACCAACAACATCAACAACATCACCAACATCAACATCATCACCAACATCACCAACAACATCAACATCAACATCATCAACATCATCAACACCATCAACATCACCAACAACATCAACAACATCACCAACATCATCAACATCATCAACATCAACAACATCAACAACATCAACATCATCATCATCATCAACATCACCAAAATCATCATCATCATCAACATCATCAACAACAACATCATCAACAACATCATCAACATCACCAACATCACCAACAACATCATCAACAACATCATCAACAACATCATCAACAACAACAACAACAACATCAACAACATCAACATCAACAACATCAACATCATCATCACCAACATCACCAACAACATCAACATCAACAACAACAACAACATCATCATCAACATCATCATCAACATCAACATCATCAACATCATCAACATCATCAACAACATCATCAACATCACCATCATCAACATCATCAACATCATCATCAGCATCAACATCATCAACATCATCATCAACATCAACAACAACATCAACATCATCAACATCATCAACATCATCATCAACATCAACATCATCAACATCATCAACATCATCAACAACATCACCAACATCACCAACATCAACAACATCATCAACATCATCAACAACATCATCATCATCAACATCATCATCAACATCACCAACATCATCAACATCAACATCATCAACAACATCATCAACATCATCAACAACATCATCAACATCATCATCATCAACATCATCAACATCATCATCAACATCAACATCATCAACATCATCAACATCATCATCAACATCAACAACAACATCAACATCATCAACATCACCAACAACATCACCATCATCAACATCATCAACATCACCAACATCATCACCAACATCGTCAACATCACCAACAACATCAACAACAACATCAACATCATCAACATCACCAACAACATCACCAACAACATCAACATCACCAACAACATCATCAACAACATCAACAACATCACCATCAACATCTCCAACATCATCAACATCTCCAACATCTCCAACATCAACATCTACAACATCACCAACATCATCACCAACAACATCAACATCTCCAACATCAACATCAACAACATCAACAACATCACCAACATCATCACCAACATCATCAACATCACCAACATCATCAACATCACCAACATCATCACCAACACCAACATCATCACCAACATCATCAACATCACCAACATCACCAACATCATCAACATCATCAACATCACCAACATAACCAACATCATCAACATCACCAACAACATCACCATCATCAACATCATCAACATCATCACCAACATCGTTAACATCATCAACATCATCATCACCAACATCACCAACATCATCAACATCATCAACATCACCAACATAACCAACATCATCACCAATATCATCAACATCATCATCACCAACATCACCATCATCACCACCATCACCACCATCACCACCATCAACATCACCACCATCACCACCATCAACATCACCACCACCAGCATCATCAAACAAAGACAAAGATCCCCCGTGTAGCCTCTAACAGGCTGTAGGGGCAAGTGCTGTTAGTAGCCAGTAGCAGCAGCAACCTATGAAGGCTACCGGCACTGTGGCGGGTTCGTTGCGCGGCGCGGCGCTAACCACAACACCCACCGCTCACCACCACCACCACCAACATCGTCAGGGTCAGGGTTGTTCCATCAATGATTGATCTGTGGGTATTGATCATCAGGGTCAGGGTTGTTCCATCAATGATTGATCTGTGGGTATTGATCATCAGGGTCAGCGTTGTTCCATCAATGATTGATCTGTGGGTATTGATCGGCAGGGTCAGGGTTGTTCCATCGATGATTGATCGGTGGGTATTGATCATCAGGGTTGTTCCATCAATTATTGATCTTCAGGGTTGTTCCATCAATTATTGATCTTCAGGGTTGTTCCATCAATTATTGATCGGTGGGTATTGATCATCAGAGCCAGGGTTGCTCCGTAAATTATCAATCAGGGGGTATTGATAATCAGGGTCAGCGTTGTAACATCAATGATTGATCTGTGGGTATTGATCGTCAGGGTCAGGGTTGTTCCATCAATGATCGATCAGTGGGTATTGATAATCAGGGTCAGTGTTGTTACATCAATGATTGATCTGTGGGTATTGATCGTCTTGGTCAGGGTTGTTCCATCAATGATCGATCAGTGGGTATTGATAATCAGGGTCAGCGTTGTAACATCAATGATTGATCTGTGGGTATTGATCGTCTTGGTCAGGGTTGTTCCATCAATGATTGATCAGTGGGTATTGATCATCAGGGTTGTTCCATCAATGATCGATCGGTGGGTATTGATCATCAGGGTCAGGGTTGTTCCATCAATGATCGGTCGGTGGGTATTGACCGTGTATTGATCATCAGGCCCGGGGTATTACCTCGAGGATGAGTGCCACGAAGAGGTTGACCCAGATGACGGAGGAGACAAACCACCAGCACACAAAGTAGAGCTGAGACCACCTGCAGGGAGACACACGGAGACACGTGGAGACACGCGGAGACACGCGGAGACACGCGGAGACACGTGGAGACAAACCACCAGCAGACAAAGTAGAGCTGAGACCACCTGCACAGAGACACAGGGAGACACACAGAGACACGTGGAGACACACAGAGAGACACAGAGACACAGTGAGACACACAGTGAGACACACAGAGACACACAGAGACACACAGAGACACAGGGAGACACACAGTGAGACACACAGAGACACACAGAGACATACAGAGACACACAGAGACACACAGAGACACAGTGAGACATACAGAGACACACGGAGATACACAGAGACACACAGAGACAAACCACCAGCAGACAAAGTAGAGCTGAGACCACCTGCAGGGAGACACACAGAGACACACAGAGACACGCGGAGACACGTGGAGACACACGGAGACACACGGAGACACGTGGAGACACGGAGACACAGGGAGACACACAGAGACACACAGAGACACGCGGAGACACAGAGAGACACACAGAGACACACGGAGATACATGGAGACAAACCACCAGCACACAAAGTAGAGCTGAGACCACCTGCAGAGAGACACGTGGAGACACACGGAGACACGTGGAGACACGCGGAGACACGTGGAGACACGAGGAGACACAGGGAGATAGACATAGACACACAGAGACACGCGGAGACACACAGAGACACAGTGAGACATACAGAGACACGTGGAGACACGTGGAGACACAGAGAGACACACAGAGACACGCGGAGACACGCGGAGACACGTGGAGACACGCGGAGACACGTGGAGACACGCGGAGACACAGGGAGATAGACATAGACACACAGAGACACGCGGAGACACACAGAAACACAGTGAGACATACAGAGACACGTGGAGACACGTGGAGACACAGAGAGACACACAGAGACACGCGGAGACACGCGGAGACACGTGGAGACACGTGGAGACACGCGGAGACACAGAGGCACACAGTGAGACACAGAGACACACGGAGACACGCGGAGACACGCGGAGACACGTGGAGACACGCGGAGACACGTGGAGACACGAGGAGACACAGGGAGATAGACATAGACACACAGAGACACGCGGAGACACACAGAGACACAGTGAGATATACAGAGACACGTGGAGACACGTGGAGACACAGAGAGACACACAGAGACACGCGGAGACACGCGGAGACACGTGGAGACACGTGGAGACACGCGGAGACACAGAGCCACACAGTGAGACACAGAGACACACGGAGACACGCGGAGACACGCGGAGACACGCGTGGAGACACGGAGACACAGGGAGACACGTGGAGACACGTGGAAACACACAGAGACACACAGAGACACGTGGAGACACGGAGACACAGGGAGACACGTGGAGACACGCGGAGAGACATACAGAGACACGCAGAGACACAGAGACACACAGAGACACACAGAGAGACACGTGGAGACACGGAGACACAGGGAGACACGTGGAGACACGCGGAGAGACATACAGAGACACGCAGAGACACAGAGACACACAGAGACACAGAGAGACACAGAGACATACAGCGACACACAGAGACACACAGAGACACGCGGAGACACACAGAGACACACAGAAACACACAGAGACACACAGAGACACACAGCGACACACAGAGACACGTGGAGACACGTGGAGACACGTGGAGACACACAGAGACACAGTGAGACACACAGAGACACACAGAAAGACACGTGGAGACACGTGGAGACACGTGGAGACACGTGGAGACACGCGGAGAGACATACAGAGACACGCAGAGACACAGAGACACACAGTGAGACGCACAGAGACTCGTGGAGACACACAGAGACACAGTGAGACACACAGAGACACGCAGAGACACAGAGACACACAGAGACACGTGGAGACACAGAGACACGTGGAGACACACAGAGACACGCGGAGACACACAGAGACACGCAGAGACACACAGAGACACAGTGAGACATACAGAGACACGGAGACACACAGAGACACACAGAGACACGTGGAGACACACGGAGACACGTGGAGACACGTGGAGACACACAGAGACACGTGGAGACACACAGAGACACGTGGAGACACAGTGAGACACGCAGAGACACGTGGAGACACGTGGAGACACGTGGAGACACACGGAGACACATGGAGACACACAGAGACACGGAGACACACAGAGACACACAGAGACACACAGAGACACGCGGAGACACGTGGAGACACGGAGACACAGGGAGACACGTGGAGACACGCGGAGAGACATACAGAGACACGCAGAGACACAGAGACACACAGAGACACACAGAGAGACACGTGGAGACACGGAGACACAGGGAGACACGTGGAGACACGCGGAGAGACATACAGAGACACGCAGAGACACAGAGACACACAGAGACACAGAGAGACACAGAGACATACAGCGACACACAGAGACACACAGAGACACGCGGAGACACACAGAGACACACAGAAACACACAGAGACACACAGAGACACACAGCGACACAGAGACACGTGGAGACACGTGGAGACACGTGGAGACACACAGAGACACAGTGAGACACACAGAGACACACAGAAAGACACGTGGAGACACGTGGAGACACGTGGAGACACGTGGAGACACGTGGAGACACGCGGAGAGACATACAGAGACACGCAGAGACACACAGACACACAGTGAGACACACAGAGACTCGTGGAGACACACAGAGACACAGTGAGACACACAGAGACACGCAGAGACACAGAGACACACAGAGACACGTGGAGACACAGAGACACGTGGAGACACACAGAGACACGCGGAGACACACAGAGACACGCAGAGACACACAGAGACACAGTGAGACACACAGAGACAAGGAGACACACAGAGACACACAGAGACACGTGGAGACACACGGAGACACGTGGAGACACACAGAGACACGTGGAGACACGTGGAGACACGTGGAGACACACGGAGACACATGGAGACACACAGAGACACGGAGACACACAGAGACACACAGAGACACACAGAGACACGCGGAGACACGTGGAGACACGTGGAGACACAGGGAGACACACAGAGACACACAGAGACACGCGGAGACACACAGAGACACAGTGAGACATACAGAGACACGGTGGAGACACACAGAGACACAGAGATACACAGAGACACGTGGAGACACACAGAGACCCACAGAGACACACAGAGACATACAGAGACACGTGGAGACACGCGAAGATACACGGAGATACACGGAGACAAACGGGGAGACACGTGGAGACACACAGAGACACGTGGAGACACACAGAGACCCACAGAGACACACAGAGACATACAGAGACACGTGGAGACACGCGAAGATACACGGAGATACACGGAGACAAACGGGGAGACACGGGGAGACACACAGAGATACACGGAGACACACAGAGACACACAGAGACACGGAGACACACGGGAAGACACGGGGAGACACACAGAGAGATACAGAGACCCACACAGACACACAGAGACACAGTGAAGACACACAGAGACACAGTGAGACACACAGAGACACACAGAAACACGTGGAGACACGTGGAGACACACAGAGACACACAGAGACACGCGTAGACACACAGAAACACACAGAGACACACAGCGACACACAGCGACACACAGAGAGACACAGAGACACACAGACACACATAGAGACACACAAACACACAGAGACACACAGACACACACAGAGACACACAGAGACACACAAACACACAGAGACACGCAGAGACACAGCGACACGCGGGGGCACGGTGCGTGTGTATGCCCATCATGGAGAGAGTGGAGGGAGTGGAGAGAGAGTGGAGAGAGTGGAGAGTTTCCTGCTAGTTGGGCAGCGTTCTCATGACCGGCTCCGGTTTCACAGCGGAGGTCTCGCTCCGAATCAGCCGCCAGCGCCGTTATCTTCCCATCGGCTGCGTTTCTCTCCGCACGAAGCTTCGGGGGTGTTGATAATTGTTTTTTTACCCTTTTATCTGGCGACAAAACTGTCACCTTTTTAAATCCTTTATATTAAGTTCACTTGCTTGCTTGCTTGCTTACGACCGTGCAAATCTTTCGGTCGTTTTTTAACCCACTTCCCGTGATCCAATCGAGCTGACATTTTACACACAGACTCGTTGTGTGAGACAATTAATGTTCGTGAAATTCTTTTCCCAAAATTTTACACTGTTTAGGGAAAACAAATTAAATATTTAATTACCAATTGTTTAATGCTGCCAGACAATCATCTGACCCATAGGTGGCAGCCATCTCAAGCCAGAGGACGAGAGGACTCTAGCCACCCCGATGCCACGTATATAAAGGATTTATAGTGAAAAACTTTGTTTTTACGGGTTAATTTTTTTGTTACAAGGAGTCAAGTTTGCAAAGACCACAATACCTGCAGTCATAATACAAACAAAAAACACAACTCTGATAATGATATGCGTTGTCCTTGAAGTTCATTGGTCCACACCCGAGACAGCTTTCCTTAGAGCCTAGTCTCACTTGGTGTTGGACCAGATGACGCC